CTTTAGCAATAATTATATTTCTAATTTCTGACGTTCATGTTTATTTTATTTTCCCCCATAAACCTTGATTCTAAGCACTATTTGGCGAGCATAACGCTGTAATGTTTCTAAATTACCCCCCCTAGAAATAAAAGATATCTACGCCCTTGAGTTTAGCAACAGTCCAACTCATATTCAGAAATTAAAAATAGATTGATTCCTATGTTAGCAAACTGAGAACAGGTTGAAAAGAAACTTTCTTGATGAGATATTTAAGCACCAAGACCTTACTGCGTATTTCCAATAAGTGTAAGAGACCAAGAACAAGTGTACAAAGGATTAAAGGAGCCGTTGTTTTAGGGAAAGAATCATCATGTTTGATTAATATTAGATTATATTAGATTTCTGGCCTTCTCTCTGGTCTCCATACGAAGGTTGTCGATTTAATCAGCAATTATAATTTTTAACGTTGTTCCTCGGAATAATTGTAGTGAAGTGCGACCAACTCATTAGCGAAAATCTTTTAGCCATAAATTTTGACGTTTTTCTACTTACTACGACGTCTTACCTCTTGTTATGTGTCCTAAATCGTTCAGTTTCCTTTCGTTGCCGTTAAAGATATCTTCAATACCGTTATTGAAGAGCTATTATATCTGTACCGTATCTATACGGTCTAGCACTTCCACGTTGGTTATCTTCTCTGTCCATACTACTTTTAAGATGCGGCGATAAAGGATCATTTCGAAAGCATTTATCTTTTTATGTAGCAATGGGCTCTGATCCATATAAGAACACCGGATAAACGTAGCATCGAAGTAATCCTATACGTAGGTGTAAGTTTAAATATTGATTCTAGCTTCATTTCTTCTACTTCGTTTATAGGATCGGAGCCCCATTGATTATGGCATCTCGATATTTCTATGAGGGTATTTGATCTATAGTATCTACACGGATGTCGTTTATAAAAACATTTCTGGTATAGGTAGGACTTTATTTACCGAGTAATCAAAGTATAAGTACATTTTTGGAATGTTATGGTTTTGAAGCTATTACAGTATCACGTAAGGGAAAGATGGCATTTATAGTCATTAATGGAAAGCTTATACTTGTCGGAAAGTTGTATTTTTCAGTATGCTCACTGTTCACACATGACCTTCTGTGTCGTCTGTATCAGGCACATACTCTTAATCGCTCACAGAATCCAAATAATTTTTAGTAATAGATTCATGTTAAGAAACAATCATTTCAAAATCAGTAGGCCTCCTATCATTAAAATCTTCGTTCGGACAGAATGTAGTATCAACTTCTAATTAAATGCCATTTTCACTAATACAGTATTCTGTTATAGTATTAAATAAAATCTAGTTTGTGATGTGTAAGAAAATCAAACTATTTGAAATACACGGCTTTAAACATATAACCCACCTATCAGCTTAAAGCTGTTAATTAAAACAAGATAATTAACTTTTAGTGATGACCTATTTTGCCCCACCCATTTTACCTCACACGTATTTTATAGGTCAGGAGATTCATATTATAAACAAATAAATAAACAAAAGCAATTAATAAATATTTGTACTGCTAAAACAAGATAAATGGTAAATCACTTATTTTGGTAGATACACCTATAGTTGGTTATCGTATGTTTGGACATAAATGTACTTAACTTGTTGTTCCAATTCATTTAAAATGAAGTTAAACTAGTTTTGATAGTAAACTCTATTTTCATTTTGTAAACATCTTATCATTATTTTGTAAACATCTAGATCAAGTTACTCCTCAATACCGAGTTCAATAATATTGATACCTTACGAGATAATGTCGGGTTACAGATCTTAAATTACGTTGAGACTTTCCATAATTTGAGCAACAGTTTGTTATACAAAACTGGTAAGAGTTAGTGAAGGTTTCTATTTTTGAAAAAAAAATATAAATTATCTACAAACATACTTTTTTAACTATTTACGTGTATTATCTATTTGTGGTGACGTTTATTTTGGTAAATAATCGATAATAATATTTAATAAGGCAAGATATAACAGGGTTGGTCAGAAGTTTGGCGTAAATACTAACAGCAAATTTGGCACTTAACTGTGGTTTTTGTTTTAGTCTGCGCTTTAAGTCTAAATAGGCATAAATTGAGCTGCCTGTTTTTACAAATACAATTTAATTTTCCGAGTATTCCTACATCGTCGTTGCCTTTCGCATAAAATAAATGGGGTGTGAAATTTGAATGACCTTGTACATGTAAATTTGAATCAATTTATTGTAATAGCAACAACTGACATCAAAATTATATTTTGTAGAGAGAGGCAGAAGATAGAGAGAAGGTTTTTGATTTGTGGTTTTGAAGTCTTAGAGCTTCGATTAACTTCACACCAATCAAAAGTAGCGTTCGTTATCTCCTCTTAATTTTCTTAAATGAATCATTGCCTAATATAAATGTAATAATAATGCTGGATGATGCAAGACAATGATTTTAGATTGTCGTGAAGAATGATCGCTAATACTAGTTGTGCTAAATTGGATAGAAAAACACAGTATGATATTAACTCCAGGGCTATCCCATGATACCTAATAATAAGTTCAGGGGATACGGTTTCAATTTCAGTATCGAGAGGATTTTGAAAAATCTTAATTTCATTCGCAATGACGTCAAACTCTGAGAAACGACTATCAAAATTTATCTAAAAATCACTCAAAGCTTCTATTACAAAATTGATGTGTCAGTCTCAGTTATGTGGCTTAATATTTTGCGTTTTTAAAATGTGGGAAACATTTTTTACGTAATTGTCATTGAAACAATATTATTTCCTGCTGGAATGACATTAGCGCATAAATCAGGGAGAAACGACTTTTCCCCTTGCAATCTCAAATTGAGTTTGTTCATATGTTTTGTAAATATGTTCTCTTTTTATTCAAAAAATATCGATTACTGCTCGAAAAGGTTCAAAAAAGTACTGAAGGACTTTCAGCAACTAAGGCATCGTATGCCAGTATGATTTGGTAAGTCATTTTCTCCAATCTTTTCAATAATCTCACTGGATTGTCGGTGATTTAGCCCAGTTGATCTGATGAAATTAACAACTGATGACTGGTTTTAAAACTTCAGACATATCTAAACATTTCACGTACAAGAACTGTTGATGAATGATACAATGTAAGACTAATGATTTGAACCACTATCATCTCTTGATCAGTATAGAGAGGGTATCAGCGATAGAGGGTACTACCACTACCTATTTCTGCTTGTGACTACCAGATGTCGTAAAGTGACACGGTTAAGTGTCTGAGCAAGCGTACGCTCGCTCAGGACACATACTCAGTGACTGGTCTAGAAATTATAGATAATGGCAAGAAAATTAAAATGGCTTTAGCCTTTGGAACTCACTGGAGTAATCAATATGGCCTGAAGGCTGGAAAGTTTGGAGACCCATCTTTTCCCATCATTTTCCATACAGAAACGACAGATTTTATAATTTTTTGTCTTAAATTTGTTGTCCCGATATTTCACTATATTAAGTACCGATTTAGCTTTACATTTTTAACTATTTACTTGTATTATCAATTTGGGTTGGCGTTTAATTTGGTAAATAATCAATAATAATATTTAATTAAGCAAGACATAATAGGATGAGTCAGAAGTTTGGCGTAGATACTAACGGAAAATTTGTCACTTAACTTAGGTTGTTGTTTCAGTTTGCACTTTAAGTCTGAATAGGCATAAATTGAGCTACCTATTTTCACAAATACAATTTAATTTTATCGGTGTTAATAATGACTCTTAACATTTTAAAATAAAAACTTATTTAGAATTGTAAACTAATTTTAACGGACATTAGTTACGCTGTTAACAAATCTTTTAAAAGTTACTCGACAGTCAAACCTACTTTCTTTTTTAATAGGATTTTAATCAAAAAATTAAATTATTTTTCATTTATAAACTTTCTATTAATAAACAGTTTTTGTTATTACATAACAACAACATCAATAATAGGATATTGCCTTTAAAAAAAATTAATAAACCTTTAGTTGTTTAGTAAAGGTGTTGAAAATCAACAATGAGTCATAAAGTAACAAACTGAACAAAATTTAACATACGTGTTTGGTGTTTTTATTTGGATAAACACTAAACATTAAGGTTCAACAAATTTTCTAGTTTACCTAAATGTTCTTATTTCGGTTCAATTTGCGCGTGCTAAACGATCAATTTAACGATCGTTTATTTATACTTTTTGGGCCGATTTACGCGTGGTTAATCTTTTCTACATGCGAAATCGCTTTTGACTCTATAAATTATTCTAACAAATGCAAAAGTTTATTGTTTTAAATTAAGTGAGAAATGTACTCCTGGTATAAATAATTTTGTAATAATGTAATGTGTTATTAAATTCATTTAAATATTTATTTATATATATTTCACTTAATACTTTTTTTTTTCAATAATTTTAACTTGGATTTTCGGATAAATTTGCAATTCTCTTCTATACATCGATCGAGAATCAATATTTTCTAAATCAACAGAATCAAAATGTTGATTTAGTATTCTAGGTTGAATGCGTTAAATGGAACAGGAATAGAATCCGTTACACGTACTTTGCTTCAGCAAATATACGGAAATGTTATGTTTAAGTCTGTATGCAAATTTTGCTCCAGAATATATGGATAACACAACTTAAGATAAAACGATTTAATCTATTATTTCATGGCGAAATGTAAAAAAATTTTCAATAAAACATTGTAAGTCTTACAATTAGTTCATTACCCGTAAATAATTTTAATTGAACGTTAATAAAAATAGCGATCGTATTGTAACCAAATCTGACACCATTCGGATAAAAAAAATAATTTGCAAACAATAATCATCTTGTCCCATAACTTCCTGGGCATTGAATCCAATTTAGGTTTTGAATAGCAAATGAGCTCGGTAAATTTAACGGTTACAACAACCTGGGTTCGTTCTTGAATTTATTTGAAGATGACATAAATAAGAAGTGACGGGGTAATTTTCGAGCACTTACCTTAATTCGCTTATCGGATCCGGTTTTCTTTAAAGGCGGCCTGTCCGTAGCCGGCGGTTTTTCTACTTTTCCTTGCGAGAGTTTCCTCAATGGTGGTGGCAACCATTTCCTGCTGAAAAACGGAAAGTTGTTAGCGATTTTCAAGTTAAACGAGACAGGAAATCCTAGAACGAGATTTCTTTGCTCACCATCGGTTTGGACACTTGCGACAAGAAACTAATCTACGAAGGAAGTCGGTCATAATAGACGATTTTGCGCACTTGTGGCCGGCACGAAACTCGTTAAGCAAATTACTGTACTAAGGCACTTGTACCCGAGATAAGATTGTTCTCTGCTAATATTTGCGGTTTTATGTAAGGTTTATTGTGAAATTTGCTTAATGTGCGTTTGTGTGTGTGTATGCGGGAATTGTTCTAGGGGATTTAAACACGTCGGGAAATGAAAAAATATTTAAAGAGTACGTTTTTAGTATTCGGAATGAGTGATTCAGTTTTCTTTTCGCTGTAAAAATATTTCTAGGAGTTCCGGAAAATATGGTTTTTTTAATTAAGTAGAAAAGGAAATTGTAACAGGAAATTTTCTTAGAAGTTGAGAAATGATTTTGAAGGATTCAATACAAGTTGAAGTTACTTAAATCATTTTTTGGTCAATATTGTAAACAAACATAAATAGATAGATGTTTATAAAACGATTCAAAAGAAATTCGACAAAACTATTTTCAGAGTTCTAACAAAAATTTATTTTGTGTTTATCATCTACAAATTGGATAGAAAAGGAAATTGGAATTTTCACTGAATTTTCTTCGAATTTATTGGTAAAACATTTATATGGAATTAAAAATGGGAATTTTCTTGAGAAGTTTCTCACTTTCAATTGTGATATTAATATTTACACTTTCTACGAATCTGTTATTGACAATATTGGTGCCAATTTTAAGAAAGGCAATTTTCTTGGCACACACAACCTATTTTTTGTTTAATATAATTAATGTGTGTATATTATTGTGCGGTATCGATATTGGTAGAAGGTAAAAATGGGAGGAGAGATTTTAAATGGATGAAGTGGGTTGTAGTTTTAATTTAAAATAAAATATATCAAAACTCGATTATAAATTTACAATATCAGCTGATGATCAAAATTTATTGCGGAATATGTCCGGTTTTATCAGCAGAGCTAAAACTGCAAATAAAGTAAATGATGTCAATATTTTTAAATGTTAAAAAAATCTCTTTCATAAAATTATATAATAAATATAGCATAATATATAAATTTTGATTAGCACCCTTAAACAGCTATTTTTCATTTGGGATGTGATATATCAATTTGTGTGTTTTGGTATATAGAATCCGAATATACCTTTCAAAATGTTCTAACACATAAGATTTTTGAGTTTCTAAGGTTTTTTATGTTTTATTTTCAGTATTTCGCTGGTTTCTGTTTTTTTGTTTGAATGTTAATCTTTGTTCCTTTGTAACGGAAGTGCATCATTAACCTCTTGGTGTCAAGATAAAATTTCACGCCTCATATTGCCTGCATAACCTGCATTACTACTTTAACCGAGTGGTTAAAAGAAAAACGTCGAGCCATGAAATTCGGTGTTCCTATGGTGCGGTGTGAGCCTAAAGACCGTTTTTCAGGCTGTTACTTCTGCGTCACAAATATTACAGGGCATTCTCGCAAAACTCGAGACAAAGGTGAATTTACCTAATGAAGGGTTGCCTATTCCTGACTGCAAGGTGCAAGCCATGAGAATTGACCCAACGTCAAATGAATCAGAAGGTACTTAACATGTAGAAGAGTACTGCCCTCAATCTCTTGACACTTCGCCTCAGCTCTTTAATCTAAACGAACTGAACGATTTGGTTCGCGATCTAAACCTTTGGAAAGTGCAAGCTGAACTCTTGGGATCAAGACTGCAACAACGGAAACTTTTAGCTTCACGGACAAAAATTTCCTGTTTTAGAGCAACAGGTACTTGCTTTACTCAATATTTTGATATGCAGAATTAAAGATAATTAATTACAACATAATCAACAGGAAAGGCGACTAACTTTATTGATTCCAGTAAAACGAGTTTGAAAGCAGTACTACTGCATAATGGCAATAAATTTCCATTGGTGCTTTTGATTTACACAGTAAGCATGAATGAAACTTATAAAACCATGGCTTCGCTGCTAAAGGCAATCAAATATAAGGATCATGAATGGCAACTTTGCTGTGATTTAAAAGTTGTTCCAGTCCTTACAGGTTTACAGAGTGGGTTTACGAAATATCGCTGCTTATTGAACCACTATACAGTCAAAAAATGGGTTATAAGAAAATCAGATGTTGCGGAAAAAGAAAATGAGAAAACCACTCCATTAACAAAATCATTTTGCCTGCGCTTCATATCACATTGGACCTTATGAAGGACTTTGTAAAAGCTTCGGATAAAGGAGGGCAGGCCTTCAATCGTTTGAAAGAAAAATTTTCCAAATTGAGTGAAGCAAGGTTAAAAAAAGATATATTTGTTGGGCCACAAATAAGAAAATTGTTGAAAGATCCAGCCTTTGATATCAAACTCACAAATATAGAATTAGCTGCTTGATCATATTTCAAAGCAGTTGTGAAGGGTTTTTGGGTAACAGAAAAGACAACTGTGTTTTCATTGTGAATGATTTGTTGAACAGCTCTAAGAATATGGCATATAGAATGTCCCTTAAAATTCATTTTTTATACTTCTACTTTAATTTCTTCCCAGAAAATATGAGAGCCATAAGCGACGAGCGCGCTTTCAGCAAGCCATCCTTACGATGAACCACCGTTATCAAGGTCGTCGGAACCCTTCGATTTAGACATTCTATTAGCATCACGTATATGTGGTAACTATACATATAAAATAATATTAAGTTCCAAAACTTAATTAACTGATTCTGTATTTCTTGTTTGCTTTATTTCAGTCAATGTTCGCCGGTACTGTTAATCATTCTGCTATGTATCCAGAAAATGTGACGTGGTAGATAAAAACTTATTTTACCAGTCAACTCAGCATTCCAAAATTAGTACAATCCACCCATTTACAAAGCAGATGCATAAAAACAGTTTAAATTTGTTAACTAGTGTTATTATTCAGCGCTAGATCATTGTATTTTTTTTATTGAACTACAAAAACTAGAACTAACACTAAATCTAGAACTATAAACATTCGGGTTTAACCGTCTTAAGAGACACACGGTTGTTTCTATTCGCAATTCCGTACTTACAGTCTGCCGCGTGTCTAAGCACGTGTACTGGAATGTTAAATCAAATGTAGGGAGCCTAGGAAATTTACTTAATTGAATTTATTTCTTTGAACGCTTTCATTATTTACTTCAATAATTTTCAAAGCTCGTTGCTTCTCTAATTGGCGGAAAGTTTATAAAGTTTCCTTTGTACTTTTCTCTAATAAATTTATATTGTAATTCGACGCTGAATTAAAATCATTTACAAAATTCTATTTATTTTATTTTCAAAACCAGTTATAGCACGCCATGATTTCATTCGATCCAACGCGAAAACAACCATGACTTTTGTATTTTGGTACTTTCAACTTAATATATTATAAGCCCACCTACATAGAATTGTCTTCTTGACACTTTCGTAGTTTCCTCTCCCACTGGTATCTGATGTAATTCTCATTGGAGGCCCAAATACGTTATATATCTCTTTAATTAATCTTATAACTAGTTTAGATAGCATGTTATTTACTCTATCAGATCTGCTGTTTAAAATTATGCGCAAGAACACACGTATTAATCACATTTTGTGATATATTGAAACAGTCTTAAGCGAATTCATTAATACAACTTTCCATAGAACATCTTTGAAATAATCCAACAATTATCATTTGGCGTGTTTCTCGACTTTCGTACATTTTAGTAATGGAAGCGCAATCCAATAGAAGCCGGAAATAAAAAAGCATGCTTCTAAGATTACTTCGTTTTAAGTCTATTTCTCTCGTTTTTTGTAGTACTCGTAATAGTTTTAAGAAAATTATAACCAAAAAATCTGCATCTTTTCCGATGGTTTCACTAATTTTTTGGTGTGAAAATGTCTATTTAACCATATAGTTCCATATCTACTTCGATTAATACCTATTTTTCTTGTTTCATTTTTTTTGACTTTTAAAACTTGACAAATTTGTAGATGATTCCATCAAGTTAATTGCCGGTTTTCAATGACGTTTTTTCTTTACTTAACAACCGTAAATTAACATCGATTGTGTATACTCTGACTTTTAAATGTGCAAATACTTCTTTCACACTTGTTATAAGAATAAGAGAAAACATAATTTTTATATGTATAAATAAAAAATATAGATCGTTCTAAATTTGGGACATTAGCACAAAAGGCAAAGAAGTAAACATTCTTATCGAGTACCTTTATTTAAATTATGCGATATGAACACTTATCACGCAATGGATTGTCTCAACGTCTACATACGCGAGTAGTTTTATTGAAGCCATTGGATTTTCGTGGTCCAGGTCTATGGCAAGAACTATCTTCTGTCTAATAACGAGAATAATCACTACCAGTTCTTTGAATAAATCCTTATTCTATACAAAGAGATTAGTTTGTCCAACAAATCGACTCTACTCATATTTCTTGATGTTTCCCCATCTCTTTGCAACACATTATTGGTTCTGTTTTTCTATTGTTATGATTTCTTTCTGTCGGCTTTAGTTTTATGTTGCCTAGATTATCATAAATCCATGCCAAGTGACTAAATCGTCAAAAAATACTTCATGGTTTTCAATGCTTTTTGGCTTTCAGTAAACGTATATAACCTTATTACCTAGAAGTGCTTCGTTTTTATCACTTAAGTTAATCGCTTTGCCACAATAAGGTACAAAATTGTAACGTGATTAATTATGACAACACATAACTCGATATTAACTAAATAGTTTCTGTAAAATCTTGACACAGCGATGAAGGTATACAAAGTATGGAGAGTTAATGGATACTAGATAACAACATGAAACAGAAGTTAAAAAATAACGCAAAATTCCTCTGTTCTAAAATTCTTTCAGTAATGATGCAGAATTAATGGAATGGTTGGGCGAATTTTTCGAAGAAGGCCAATTTTTGTTACTGATGATTTAAAAACTAGTCATTGTTTCTTTTGCCGCCGACAAATTCATCTTACTCATGATCACGAAAATAATTCATTAGTACAAACAAGTAGTTTTGCATACATATGGAATGCGTTTTACGTCTAGATATGCTATCACAGTCTACGACTTAAGAAATTTGCTACAATACCCCTACTGTAAGAAAATTACTTGAATTACCTGATCTGAAATAAAGAATAATTAGATTATAATAATTAGATCAGCATATACATTGGCCTTGTCCACTTCACGCATTACTAGAGTTATGAAATTGCTTAATATTTTACAACATCCATTCTGTTTCTTTTGTAGTGTCAAAAAAGCTTACTTCAGCAATTGTATCATTTTTGGGTTAAATCTTATTAATTTTTTAGAAATTAGTTACAAAGGGCCTGTGACAAATAAAACCACACTTTACAAAGTATTTGCGAAATTGTAAAAAAGCTAAAGTTTTCTTATGGGAAAGAAGTCGTATAGATTGAAATTTTTGAGTAATATTTTCTTATCGTTTAAATTGATAGATAATTCGTAGAGCGTAAAGGAACGTACCGATTTGAAATTTATTCTAGTTTATATGATTAACTAATCTCTTAATAAACTAATTTAAGATCTTAATGGTGAAAAATATTAAGCAACTATAATTTCATAAAATTATGTTATTTAAAACTCTGGAAATTGTATTGAGAAGTGTTGTAAGTATTTCCAAGTTGACCAGAATCAAGAAAAGCAATTTAATGTGTTGGGTGGAAAAGTCTAACAGCATAAAAGCAGGAACAAGGATACAAACATGTAGTTGTGCCATAAAAATTAACGCTACTCCTGTTGAAGCAGATATTATTATAAACAATTCCGGGTAGTACACTTTTGGATTGAGCCACAATTCATTTGTAGATGTTGTGAAGCATATGTAATAACTTGTAGAAAAAAATGTGTAAGTACACTTATAGAAAAAAATGAGCAGAAAAGTGTAAATGACTTGCACACAAAGATAAAGGAATCTTTACGGTGAATCATACTAAGTCTTTGGAAATGGTGGAAGTGATTCAGAAAAAAATATATTCTTCATTTCGAGTGGTTGAGTTGGGATTTGTTATGTATTGGGAAAGATCTAAAAAGTTATAAAGATCAACACATCCTTAATTTTTAGGTTAAAGGGTTAATTTTTAGGTTTTTTAGGTTTCTGCATCCGTCCAATAATGACTTACGGAATTGAAATGCACAAGATATAGACAAAATTAAGAGCATTGAGAGTAACAGAAATAAAGACCCTGAGGAACTCAGTAAATCTCATTAAAGATCAAGTGGGACAGCATTAAGAACTCCAACATCAAAAACCAATACTAAGTTCAGACTATTGTCAGATGAGGAAGACAGCAGAAGAGATTTTGGCACAACCACGAGGGTAGAATTACAGATCACCAAATAAATTGGGAGACAGCTGGCAGTTAATTTTTCAGGAGATTTTTCAGACTTAGAGAACTAAGTAGGTTTAGTTGAGTTGGATTTGTGATTCAAGGCCATATCGCTTATTTAGCGGTTGGCAAGTTCAATAATGGCTATATTTGTGCGAATAGGAAGGGTGAATATTTATGAGAAAGTAAATAGAACATATACAATTACGTAAACTCAACCATCAAGAAAATCGTACTTTCGAAGCACAAATCAGATTAGGGATGCTAAAAAAAGAGAAAAATGATTTAGGAGGATACTTCTTAGGAGGATGAAGCGTCATTATATGGCTTTGGGATCGCAGACTAACACAAAACAGCAACTAGGTTAAATAAATTACGATTATTCTTATCAAAACTTTTTATCTTTCTCTATTGAAACTTTAAACAAGTACTTCAATTAAAATCCAATTTTGATGATCTTAGAGCATTTCAACTAATTGGATGTCTATATATGTAGGTATTTATAGGTTATTGTGTAAGTATATAAAAAAATTTTAAGTGTTATCTTTGTCACCATTTTGACACAATAAAACTATTTTAGAAAAATTCGTTTGTAAAAATTGCATCATGTTATACAATCTTTACATCATAACATATTCATGAAGATAGGATCATTTAAACGAATTTACCACCTTAAAATGGTTGAGGAATGGTCGTAGTGTAAGCGCCAAAGTTACTTATGAAGCATTAAGTAAATCAAAGCTTTTGCTTAATCCTCCAAGCAATGAGTCTCCATTTATTCACTGTTGTTAAAGTGGTGATGTTCTTACTATTTCTTCATAACATCTTGAAATTTCTCCACAACATGTTCCTAACTGTTTAACATAACTACATAAATAAAGCTAATTCCATATTGAAATATCTTCAACTTTCCACACATAATTATCCCCATTCATTAATTTCATTACTAATGCGTAATATTTAAATAATTTTAAATACGTGTTTATACATAAATATTTAAATTCCATAATGAAATAATTATAAAAAGAAAGAAAAGCTTTAATAATAATTTACTAATTTCTTAAGGAAATACGTGTCAAGGTAACCTAATGAATCACATTTCCGAGTATTTGCGTGCATAATCGCAAAAACTTCGTATTTGTATCAAATTGCCCAGTTTCATCGATAGTTATCGCCTTCACACTTACTAACAAACAACAAACTAAATAACTTACCCGCTAAAACCTCTTCGTTTATTCACAGGTGATGAGGTGTTTGCAGTTCCCGTACTATCATTGTTGATAACGTCTGTAACAAAGATACAAAGAAATTTAATTATTTGACATTGAATTTTTGTTACTCGAAAAAAGGTCGAGAATAAAATTAGATTAAAGATAAATAAAATAAGTAGAACGATTGATAATCAATAAAAGAAATTGGGACAACAACGTGATAATGAAGGAAGATGTCAAAACTGGATTTTTGAACAAACTTGAAACGAGGAGCGTGAGTAGAATTATAGATTAGATAACACATATTGCAAAAACATTTAATTTCCAGGTAAAAATATGGGCAAAACAAAAATTATATTGAGACCATTATCATAAACCTAAAAACAAAGTATAAACAATTTTATTTAGAAACGATACGATTCTCTAAATTTTATTTTTACAAGTATTTTTAAATATTCAACGTCATTTCATTCATAGGTTCACGTCAAGAATATATACTTAGCATCTGTTTTGTTATGTTCCACTTCTATTTATATGTAGTATTTTAGAAACAACAAGCTAATGGAACGTTAAAATTTAAAAGAATTGCTACTACGAAGGTCTTCACAACAAAATACATTTAAAATTATGACTACTCACATTAAAACGAGACGATAAGAATAAAATTCAAAGAATTATGTCGAGTCTAGGTGTTATTTAAAAAAAATTTTGAAATAAAGTTAAACAATGATGAATTATTTATAATATGTTGATTTATTATTGGCAGATTAACTTATACGAATCATGTCACAATCTAGATAAAAACACAGAAAAATAGGAAACATTCCGGAAAAAAGAAATAAAATTCAATAAAAACCAGTTAATAATATATCCGTGGTGATTTAGATTGAATCAATAAATTCTTTTTCTCCATAAATTTCCACTTATTAGAATTTCTTTACACCGTATTAAAAACCAAATCAATTTGCTATCTATGCATTTAAAACATTTTAAAAATAAAATAAATAAATCAATCTCCTTTGATAAATCTTTTTGTTAAAACAAAAATCACTCCTTCACCTCACCTTCAACTCGTCCATCTACATCATCTTGAGGGAGAGAAACAGAGGCTTTGATCAATGTTTCGACCGTTTCCTGCTTTTTATCTTTTTTAAAGAGTTTTCGAAAGGAAGCTCGCACCCTTGAAACTCGCACTGTGTGTTGCAAATCTGATGAAGTCATCTCATTGAGAGTCAATCATCAAACGATTTTTAGAATTGGCTTCTTACGTAACGACACATCACAAAAAGAAGAAAATGGAAAAAAAGGTGAAAGAAAAACCGCAACCGCACTAATCGTTGTCGTCAACTTGCTTCTAACTGGATTCAACTACTGTCGTGCACTATAATCGTTTTATCGAACGAATGTCGATTCTAAATTGTAACGGTAAGGTAAAGTACGCGCTATTTCGTATTGAGGTTTATCAGTTTATTATCTTGATGATAAAACCGACGCCTTCGATTGTGTAGTTTGTATTGATAACGATTATTTTGAATAATTATTACTTTTTAATGTTTTTTTTAATCATTTTCAATGTGATGCTTGTTGATGCAACGTGAGTTTGAATTATTATGATGTAGAAAATAACAACAATTTATTAATTTGGTAAAATGATCGTACTAACTTGTAACATGGGGGCTTAATAAATAAATTTGAACAGTTGCATGATTTGAAGGAAGGCTGCAATTTGCACCATCCTGTTTTCAAACAGATTCGTGTCGTGCACGTTGATTAAAGATGTGATGATATAAAATTACTATCTAATGCAAAGTACGTCTTGTAATAAACTGCAATTTATTTGTCTTATTAATTTTTGACTGATGTATTTGTTTGAAGAGTAACCTTAAAATGACATTTAAAATCTATTTTGCATTAATAAGATTCTTTCAAATCGGTCGGTTATTACATGGATTTTAATTATAGACGGTATATTTACACTATAGAGTTTTTTTCTAATAACGAGCCAATTGTCATCTAGCCAAAAACAGTCCTTAAAATAACTGGATCAAAATTAAAGAGTTTTATTATAATGAAGAATATATCAAAATTGTCAAAATATAATTACATTGCAATATTGAAATTTGCATATAAAGAAAAGAAATTATTATTTTCTGCACTCAGGTTTTCTGATTCAACAGCCTGATTTAAAAAGACGTTCAAGTTTGTTAACTTTAATATAAAACTAAAGTCATCATCAGAATTAATGCATCAAAAGACGCAGTCAAAGAATTTTGGAATTATGATATTATCATGGAGAGTCAATATTATGGACAGATCACACGGCTGATGGGTATCTTGTAATTTCTTGCTATTAATTCAGAAGTGAACAAAGATTATAGGCTTTTCAAGTTCACGTTCCAAAGTATTTTCTAAATACCTAAAAAAGCCATTATTTTGATCTTAGTACGTCAATAAAACATAGTTACTTTGACACAAAATTTTATAACTGATAATAACTTGAATATGGAAAAGGAATAAAACCCACAAATGGCCACGCCACCAGCAATTTCCTATCATAGCTTATCACATTGCAAGAGAATTGTAGAGAATCAAGGGATTGCTAAAAATGTAATAAGTCAAATAAGATAATATTATAATGCAATGACAGCATACAACAATACATCTAGAGTGAAATATCTACCTACTATAAACAGGACGATTTTGATATTACGAGACGAGTTTGGTAATGACACCCCACTTCAAGCAAAACATATATTGAAGACACGAAAATCGGTAATAGAAATCTTGCCAAGATGTGTGATGTGCAAAATTATTGAGGTGTACAAACTACTTGTTGTGCATTAGTGTGATATAAGCTTAAGTCTTACTTATGCCACAGTGGTATAAAAACTGTGTTTATAATGTAGACCACCAATTCAAAATTATCTATTATGAACAGTGTCGATAAATTCGATCAACTTCTTTTTAGCAACAAAATATATCGTCAAAGCAACAAATGATAGCATTGTATATTTTTCTACTTCTTAGATGTTTCTGTGGTAAATGTAATGAGAAATGTAAAGAGGGTTATAGAAGGTCTTGTGGGTCTAGTTTTAGTATCTACTTCCAAAAGGACTAAGGAATCTGGACCACAAATGCAGATTAAAACATCAAAGCTGTTGCGCATCAACCTAAACGTGGATCAAGAAGAAGGTGCGATTTATGTATCACCAAGCCAAAGCCATTGCGCACTGACTGGCTAGACTGACTGATTGTAGCTCTTGATACCACTTTGTTTACGGAAACTAAAATCCTGCTTCCAAGCTTATCACAGTAAATAATCTTTTATTTTTGTTTTCTATTTAAAGAATATCTTTTTGTTTTTGTCAAGATTATTGTTTCTTTTATAGAATTTGCAGAATACGAGTATGTCCAGAATAGGTACCAAAATAGATATAGGATGTTTTATTTTTATGCAAATAGTGCGGAACTGTGTAACCTTTAGTGTAACATGTAAAAACCTTTTAAAATCATTTACTTGAAGAATCTAAAAAAAAACAAACTGTACAAATTTTGCTCCAGTTAAACAAAATTTTATGTCAAATACCTGGTTCAGTAAGAGTTAAATTAGTATTACTATGATCACAAATGTACTATATCAATGTGAACCTTTATCTTATACTTTAATATTTGCAACTTTAATATAAGCAACTTCGGACACCAATTACACAAACTAAACTGATACACAATTCGAAAAAGCTGCTCAAAGAGCTGTTGATGAACAATTATCGATGAGGACTACAACTACCAAGTATACAACCCAACCCAACCCCTTTCTTCTACATAAAACAACAAAATTCACCTATTTCAACTGCAGAAAAAATGTGTAAAATGCATTGGTGATACCCACTAACGAAGTCTACGACAATATTCTGGGATCTTTGCATGAACCTGACGCAAACATTGTCTACGAAGCTCTTTTTGAATTGTTACGAAAAAACAGTTTTGGGTACTCCAAGAAGGTAACAAAAACGACGAAGGATAGTTGTCTGTGAAAAGCGTCGCCACAGGTGATAGTAGTGGTTCAAATAAAGTATACCTGGATGTGCCTAATAATGATATTTCAGAAGGTGAAGCTCCTTTGATAAAAGCACAAGAAGTACAATATTATCATACTTTACTCCTTGGTCTAAAACTAAATAAAAAGATAAGATTACATCAGAATATACTTACTCCTTTAAATAATATTAGCTAATTTGAAAATTTGGATACAATCATTATTAACAATTACGACAATATTGCCAACGTAATACAAAAAAAATTATCATAATAGTAAAATGAAAAGTAAAGTAGGCTATTCATTGCGCCCGGTTTACAAATATTATTCTGCCTTTTACTCCTCATAGGATCTGTTCTGAACAATTCAATTTTCAACTTAAATACCTATATATACTATATTTAAATTAACCAGGCACACAGTGGTATTGCATGCCGCAAGGTGATAAAAGGATAAATTTATCTTTCACACGAAATTAACAAGTAACAGTATTCGCTCTTTGCAAACAAAACGTTTTACATAAATTACATGTTCGATTATTTTGTTTAGTACTACGTATTTGACATAGTCCAGTAGAATTCACTATTTGTTTAGATCTTATTAACAAAGATGGTAGTATTTGTATTTTAACCCGATCTTTTAGATGGGTTTCAAATATCAAAAAACTTAAATCCCTTCGAAAAACGAACTTTATTCTCTTTGCTGTTGTGTAAACTCTATTTGTGCATCTTTTCATCTCTTCTTTAGGGATATACTCTAGGAATGATATTATGGTCGCTCTTTTTAGGAAGTCCATTTCAACTGTAACGGTCTTTTTCTTGTTTCTGTTCGATAAGTGCCAAAACTCTGTCTCGTTAGTCAATATAGGCTTCATGATTGTCGTATAGAATTTGAAGTACAAGACTTTTTTGTTTCAAAAGTAATTTCATTCGACCATGGTAAGGAATTTAGTAAAGCCACACATCTTTTTCTTTGCTGCACACTGTTTGCTGTATGCGAGGTATTTATGTTTCGCACTTTCGTCTTTTACACACATATTC